GTAGGCGGAGTTCACGGCCAAAGGTGAGGTATGCCGGTGTCATTCCCGTAGACGTATGAACTGCAACTCGGTAAGCCAGCATGCATCCTGGTAGTTCATCCCATCGGTCCGCATTATGCCTCTGCATGCAAGCCTGCAGGATACCTTTGATGGTGCGGTTCGTGCGCTCGACCAAGCTATTGCCCCGTGGATGATAAAGAGTTGTGCGAGGTTTCTTTATGTTTAGCAACTGGCACACCCCTTGCAATAGTTGGCTTTCGAAAGCTGGCCCTTGATCGGAGTAGATACTCAGGGGGACGCCGTAGCGAGAAATCCATTCCTTAACGATGCTTGCAGCCACAGTAGTCGCTTATTGATTTCTCACCGGGACAGCTTCGCACCATTTGGTGAATTAGTCCACCATCACCAGCACATAACGATTACCTGATGTCGTTGTAAGGAGGGGACCCATTAAATCTACCCCCTGGTTCATTCACGGGCATCGGTTCTAATGGAGCCCTGGGGTACTGCGGTCTACACTTAATTGCTGCACATATCTCGCACTGCGTGCATAACTCTACGTCTTCGTGAAGTCTCGGCCACCAGTATCTCTGTCGCAAGGCTGCTTCTGTTTTGAGTTGGAGGCCGTGCCCAACTTGCTGGTGTACTCGTTCTATCAGGAGCGGCACCTTGGTTTGTGGTGTAATCAGCTTAGGTTCGAACTTATCATCTCGAAATATAACCTCGCCAATCATTCACAAACTGCCCCAATGATTTATAAGCGCACGCTCCGCAGCCGGGTGGTCCTTCATTTCTACCCCCGATAGCTTGGAAGCACCGTCTCTTTGACGTTCGTATGTGTTTCTGATATAAGGGTCGTTGGATTGCTCGACAGCCCAGTCCTCGTTGGCCTCGGACGATACGACTAGTGCATTTACCTGTTCTGCATTAGCCCTTCGAGATAAAGCGTCGGCGTTCGCGTGACGCGTCCCATGTCTATGCTCACACGTGAAATCGTATTCTTGAAGGCTCTCACTCCACCGTGCCGTTTGACCTTCAGGATTGTAAAAATTCCTCAGCCAAATGAGTGAATGGCGATCGGTACGGACACGGAACGCTTTCCCCAGCAGGTAAACCCTGAAGTGTTTCAAGAAGTGANNNGTAGACGAAATCTTTGATAACCATGAGTTGGTGCCATATCTTTTAAGATTGATGAATATATATAATATGTGGGCGTTTGAAGATGAGCCTCCGTGCGTTGAGTTCGTTCAGTCTTTCATTTATTTTCCGTTCCTTGATGCTTAGCGCATTGCTACCCCCCTTCACATTATAGTTTTTTTCTTTGGATAATTACTTCCCTACGGTCATCAATTCTCCATGTTACACTATAGTTCTCCCTGACTTACACATCGTTTCTTCTTGGAGTCAAGTTACAAAAGTCAACAGTACAGTGCTACCATTTTAGTAAGCTTTAAACTAAATTTTCACCACTAAATCAAATATCTTTTCCAATTGATCTTCAGGTTTAATCTGGGCCTTGTCACGGAAATGACCAGCCAGTGCACTGACAAAGTTTATTCAGACGATAATGATACCACTGATGACAAAACTGTTCCTGATCTCCAGGATCCCGAACTTCCTCCTGCCAAAGGGAATTCATCTGATCAAGCAGTTGTCGAGCAGGAAAGTCATACAGCGGACAAAACAATCACAAGCGCCTATAAAAACGTGGATACAGAATCAGTCAGCTGTCAACTCACGGATGAGAGTAAATCTCAAGAGAATTCACTAACTGAGGATCCTGTGACTGAGAAACGTTCGTCAGATGATGGTTTTCAAATGGGAATTTCACAGTGTAATGTTGAATTGAATACAAACGAAGCTTTCGCCGTCAATAGTGATCCAGAGGATTCGCCTGCTGTTGTTGCTGTTTGCAGTGAGAAGCATCCTTTAGCTGAAAACAGTACGGATCCGTGTATTGCAGGAGAATATTAATTCTTCACATGATCCTAAGAATGGCTGTCCTAATTCCACTACATTGCATTCTCCGAACGCGCATCTGTTTGAATTAGATGATCCGGAACAGTCCAAAGTTGAAAGCGTTGTCTCACCTCAGGAGAATGCTGATGAAATGCTCCAATCATTAACTGAGAAGTTGAAAATCGATGAAGATGTGTTGCCCAGTGCAAATACTGATGTTGCAAAAGAAGAAACAATCGAAATAGTAGTGAACAGTACAGAACCAAATGAATCATTTAAAGATCCAATTAATGCCGATAATAACGACGATCGCTCCATATTGTCTGACGGCGATTCCATGGATGAAGCATTCGATGAACATGCGGCTTCTTTTACTGAGTTCGATGAGGACATTTTACCTGGTGCTCGTCGACCTCAACATGGTCATTCTGATGATGATGACGAGGATGATGAAGACGTGAGTGAAGAATACGGTGATGATGAGTTCTTCTATTCCGATCATGTTCAAGATGGCGATAGTTACTACAGTGATGCCGAGGATCCTCAGTCGAAAGAACTTGAAGAAAAAGAANTGCGGCTTCTTTTAATGAGTCCGATGAGGACATTTTACCTGGTGCTCGTCGACCTCACCGTGGCCATTCTGATGATGATGATGATGACGAGGATGATGAAGACGTGAGTGAAGAATACGGTGATGATGAGTTCGTCTATTCCGATCATGTTCAAGATGGTGATAGTCACTACAGTGATGCCGAGGATCCTCAGTCGAAAGAACTTGAAGAAAAAGAACTCCAATCACCTCCAAAATCATGTTCTTCTCAACATGAGGAAAACAATGATGTGGTAGAAGTCGTGGATTCATCATCTACAAACAAGGAATCCCAGTTAGATGCTGATCAAGAAAAAACCAATCCAAACCCGCGACGCCAAATGTAGCAGGTTCTATTGCGTGGTACCAGTAACCTCGAAAGCTCGCTGTAACGAAACACGGGCAGTCAATATGGATTCGCTCAACGCACGCACTCGGATATGGAATCGTGGCGAAAAGACAGAGACACAGGAAAAGACGTATATTGTCACGCAGCAAGCGAAGCAAATAGTGTACATAACTAAGGGAGGGGAACAATCAGTAAAACATTCTAGAATAAATGCCCTGCTGCAGTTTCAAGGGTGTTACATAGCTCCGTACTTGAACGGGCGTCAAGGTTGAAATGCTGTGTGAGTTCAAATTAAATTACCAGATTTAAACACGATGACAGGACAGGACAGGAAGGATCACAGGACTTGCGGCGGAGCCAGAAGCAGTCCAGTTTCTTGCATTAATGAGCTTGGGAGCACTGTAGTGACCATGATTGTACGAAGAAAAGGAGCAATACACGAGGACGTTTTCCGTTCAT